TACCACTAGAGAGGTTAAGTGATTTGCCTAATGTTATAAAACTGGCCAGTGATGATACTGAGGCTATGATCTTATCCCTGGCCCAATGATTTTTCATCACAACTTTTATTGTATTTTATATAGGTTTGCATTTTTTACAGTTTTGGTTGTAAAACAAATGGAGTGAAATGGTGTGATTTAGTCATAATAAAATTTACATTCTGGCAATTTGGAAACAGTAAGTACCAACTATCTGCTAGGTCTTGTATTAGGATTATATGTTCATTTTCATTTAATCTCCACAATAAACACATAAGTTAGGCATTGTCTCGTGGTGTCTCCATTTTACCACTGAGGAAACAGGTAGAAAACAGTAAAGTGATTTGTCTGAGTTATTCGGCATAAATAATGGCAAAATAAGGACTTGAACCCAGGACTGTTTGACTGGTACACCTGTTCTCCCCTTCTGCCACTTGACTTTTCATTATATAGTTAGAGAAGATAATTGATTTATTCATAAGTGCATTTATTCAACAAACATTAAGCATATATGGGAGGCACAGTACAAGAAGTGTATGATGAAACGTGCATGTAAACTCGTGGTAACCAAATGAGATCTCAGGAGACGGGATCACTGTGAGTGGGAAACCCCGGGGATAACGTCTTGCAGAATATTCAAATAAATTGGGCTGAACTTTAAAGGAATGTTAGGTAAGTGGCTAAGTGATGTAGGGGACGGGAGATTTTAAATGGTGGAAAGTGGCATGAGCTAAAACAGAGTGAGAGGCAGTGAAGAAACTGGCCTATTTGAATGGCATGAGGGAAACTTCTTGTTTTTTTCTCCCTATTCTAAACTTTTTCTGCCATAGCTGTATGGCTTATTATAGGACCATTTATTTAAATCAGAGAAAATCTTATTGCACTAAAGTGGAAGAATGTAGATAAGGTAGATAAGTGTATTAGTTAGGATATACATTGAACTGCTTGTCACAAAGAGACCCTGCAATCCAGTGGTGTAAAAAAGATTGAAATTTATTTCTCTCTCACAAATGAGTTCAGCTGCAGGCAGGGCGTCCAGGATAAGAAGGTTGCTTTGTACCACGAGGTCATCCAAAAACTCCGGTTCCTTCTGCCTCGTTGCTCTTAGTCCTGCAACACCGTCATATATGACTTCTGGTCCATGGGAAGGGGAAAGGGGGAGGTGGTGTGCAAGCAGCTTTTGTTTAAGGATGTGACCCAGAAGATGCACACATCACCCCTACCCATGTCCCATTGGCCACACGTGGAGGGAGAAGCTGGGAAATGGGATTTTGGATTGGAAAGTCACGTGGCCAGCTAATACTTAAGGAGCTTCATCACTCAGAAGAAGAGAGAGAGAATGTCTGCATCCTTTTGTTTAAGGATGTCTTCATTCTTTTGTTTAACACACAGAGTGAGTTAGAACAAGTTCAAACTTTGCACCCACTAGCTATGTGCTAAATCTCTGTGCCTCTTTTTCTGAAAACTGGGACTACTTTATAGGGTTATTATAAGAATAAAATAAGTTAATGAATATCAATTTACTGCCAGGGTGCCTAGCACATGTTTGATGCCTATTTCTGTATCTACCCGTCTCTTCCTTTGTTTAGAAGTTTATAGCAACAAACTCGAGGAAAGCCAGTTATTGGCTGCATACCAGGCATGACTTGTCTGGCTTGATTGCTGGATCTATCAATTACTCTTTGGCCTCCGCCCCTCTGCTCCTTTGTCAATATCTTACCAGAGTCTTTTTGCTAAAATACACTCCCAAATATGGTGATAACAATAAATAATTTATTATTAATTCTAGTATTGTGGTTACTTATCACAACAATCCTAAAGATGGGAACTAGTAACATCCCCCATTTTATAGACTTAGGAACTGAGACACAGAGAACTTAAATAACTTGCCCCAAAATCACACAGAAAATAGCAAGGGGAATCTAGATTTAAATGGATTTGAGAACTTGAAAATCCAAGCTCTTAAGCACTCACTTACATCACCTCTCCTCTTCAGACATCTTCAGACTTCTAATTACAAGCAAAACAAGATCCAAAATATTTTGCCTAACGTTAAGACTCTCCTCATTCTAGCTCAGATTACCTTTCCAAGCGTGTCTCCTATCTCCCTATTCAGATGAGAAGATGCATTTTCCAGGAACCTGTCCTGGCCCCTGGTCCCCTTATGTGCTTCCTAACTTTCTCCCATCAAATAATTTATTTTACAGAATGGTAATAATAATAACTGATCATCTGTATGCTTCATTAGATTGTTCTAATACAATCATTAGAACAATGCATGCATTTTTTGGGCCTATTAGAATGATATGTGTGCCTGTGTGAACACACACACACACACACACACACACACGCACTGCTTAGTGCTGGTGAGAATTCAGAGGAACAGTCCCTCTCATCTACTGCTGGTGGGAGTAAGAATTGGTATACTTTTCGTTTTCCTCCTTTTGTGTCTTTGTTCTGTTGGTTCTTCAGTTTAAGAACTTAGATTAAGTGGAATCTTGCTCAGCATTACGTCTCTTGGTAATCATGGTTCAATCTCTTGTTTCACTACCCTCCACTTCTAATTTTTCTTTATTCTAAATGTTTATTTTGCTTCACTTTATTATTTAAGTGCTTAATCCTACATTTGAAATGTTTATCCTTTGTATTAAATTTCCTGTCTCCTTTTACTTTTGTTTGCCTTTTATAGCTCCTATATTAATCCTTTTCTCTTTATTTTTCTGTTTTCATTTCTGATTTTAAGGCTGTTTTAGCCTCCTAAACAATCTTATTTTTAACCTCTTTTGTTCCCTCACTGTCTCTCTCTTTTCTTTTAGTGACTTGTTTATTGTTGTACATTGAAAAATATGCTCTACCTTACAAAGTCTTTTCATATGCCCCCTGGGTCATTCATTTACATCCATGTAAAGCAGTTAGCACAGTGATTGGCACAGTGCACTTAAGAATTGTTAGACATCACCATAGTCAATCCCAGGCCTCCGGGAGGTCATTTGACCTATCCATGTTTACACAGTTGATCATACCATAAAAGTTTTTGATCTAGTCCTGTTGAACTAGTAATATACGTGGGCAGAGAACTAGTAGAGATGGAACTCTGAAGAAATTCATTTCAGTAAATACTGATGGAGTGCCGAGTCCCTTCCAAGTCCAAGCTGAGAGTCTAGGATGTATATGTTGTCAGTCAGGAGTCATTTAGCTTAACCTGAGATTTTCAGCCATTCCAAAAACATCCTTTTGAATATCCTAAACTAGTCAAGAAATCCCTTCTGTAGAGCCTAAGCAGTTCACCCAGGCAGTCAGCAAGATGAAATGAAAAATCTGCTTGATATATATGGACTCATTCCTGCCATTTCTTATAAGCAAAGCCGTGTATTTAGAGGTATGCCAGCTTGAGATGGAATCTTGGCTCTGCCCTTTCTAGAAAGACAGGACATACTATGCTAGAGAGGGACAAAGATTTGATGGAAGACTCTGGGCCACAAGAACAACGGAAGGACTGAGTTCAGGCTCGGCCTGTGATGTGGGAGCAGAGTGGTGGAATCAGACTAAATCCATCATGTTTGCTCTTATGAGGCAATGGGGTGGGACACTAAGGGTGACGTGGGGGAACATAAGTGCATGGCAGTTGGGGAGGAGGGGCCACAGACACCTGGAGAAAATGAGCCCTTCTCTTTGATGCCACTGCCTGCAGCTAGACACAGCCTAGGCAGACAAGAGGCAGGGGCAGGGTCTACTTAGACTCATCTCTTGAATAGACAGGTCAGGAAAGACTGTGATTAGGACCATTCACAGTCATCCAACCCATACTTGCACATACCTGCACATTGTACATCCTCGTGACACACCTTCACATTCATCTATTCTCTCTTCCTCCCCACCCTCCACTCTCACTCTCATTCTTAGTTTTACTCTCTCATTCCCACTAAACTCTAAGGTCCTGGCACCATCTCAGGTCCATGTCTTTGTCCTCAAATCTTACATAATGCCTGGCAAATTCCCTCCACCACTCAGTAGCTTTGTCACCTTGGCTACCTTACTTCAGCTACAACACATTTTCCTTTTCTAAAAGACAAGGAAAATCGTTACTACTGTAGGGTGGTTGTGAGATTAAATGAGATGAAACATGAAAGGTGCTTAACATGGCACCCAGGGACTGTGGCCGTCTGTGACCACGAGTGCCTTCCTCCCGCACATCGTCTATGTGCTCTTGTCCTCTCTGTCTCCATGAACGTGCATCCACATCTCTGAACACAGCCCGTTCATTCCTCAGAGACTTGAGTGGCTGTGCGCCTGGTGCCAGGAAACAAAGTCCCTTTCACATTGCTACTCTCATTCTTCCTCACAGAACCCTTTGAGGGAGGAATAATTTTATGCTTTTTATAGCTGGGGAGCTGAGGCTCAAAAAAGTGAAGCAGCTTTCCCAAGAGCCCACAGCTAGTGAACCATAGAGCTAAGATTCCCACACAGCTCCAGAGCTAGCCTGCTTTTCTCCGTACTTGGCCCAAGCCCTATAATGAATTCTCTATCATCTGGCATATGTTGAGGAAGGGGAAAATCTCTTCTGGTTAAACAGATATGATTTACTAAGAAATCCATGCCTGCTACACCAGACATATACTAAACGTATCCCAGCCTTCTTTGGTGAGTCATGTGCTGAATTTTTTCCCTAAACCTGCACTCCAAGGTGCTTGAGGTTAGAGACCTTGTTTATTTTATTATAGTTACATCCTCATGCCATGTTCTCAGGACACATGGTGGATGCTCACTTAATTTATGGAGGTTGACTATGTGAATGAATGTTTTATAAGGAACGTCTGTGTCCTATCGAGAGTTAAATATGAGTCTAGTTGAGAGGAGGAGAAAAGAAAACAGGGAGGAACATTCCCATCAGACTAAGGTCTACACGCATATCCATGCACACACAGACCCCCCTCAACACAAGCCACCAGCTACACACACCCCCTCCATTCCTGGACACACACATGTGCATATTCAATTGTGACTATTTTACTGTTTTTCAGTTTGTGAAGAAATATGGGAACATTTTTAGCCTGGATTTCGGTGACTTGTCTTCAGTTGTTATAACTGGATTGCCCTTAATTAAAGAAGCCCTTGTCCACCAGGACCAAAACTTTGTGAACCGCCCCGTAACCGCTATCCGAGAACGTGTCTTTAAGAAAAACGGTAAGTTTCTTGACCAATGTAAGATGTGTATGTTTGATATTCTTATGGTCTCTTAAAGGTGCCTCTGTGACTATAATTCTCCAACTCTCCCAGAGACCAGGCCTGTTATAAAGTTCCTGCCATGAAAGGAGCTGGGGGCTCACATTCCCCACTGAAGGCACCCTCTCCGAGGATTCAGCAGGGTCAGCTCTGATGCCAGGGATTGGGGAGAGGCTGCATCTCCTGTGTGACCTGACTCTGGATGCTTTGATAAAGACGTAACCACATCACTCAATGATGTGACATGTTTTTTAAGCAGAGGAAGAGGCAATATGTTCTCTCTTTTTGTTTCCCACTCCACATCTCTTTCCCTAGGAAAATGGATATGGATCTGCTTCCTTCTGCTGCTTAAGTAATTCCTTCTTCTTGCCTGTAGTTCCTCAGGCTTTATCATTGTGGCTGTGCCCCACAGGGTATCTTGAGTCTTCCAGCCTATGTTAGAACAGTTTGCATGAATACTTAAAATTATCATTGAAAAAACTTAAACATTTAAAAATCTAAATGAAAACTCAAATCTATTACTCTACCAAAGCACTGTTTGTTTCAGGTTCTTACGAATTCCTCTTTGAAATATTTTATCCATTAACTCTCCATCCATTCACTCTATTTTATCACGTGAGGCACAGTGCTAGGTGCAAGTGATGTAACAGTGAGGAGAACACATAAAATCCATGTCCTTATGTAACTTACATTCTCTTCAGAAAGACAATGTCAATTAACTATAATAATTTCAAGCCTTGGTGTTAGGAAGATATGTGCAGGATGCACTTATTAGGGGTATCTACTCCAGTCCTGATTCAGGGAAGGCTAATGCAAGTAAATGACAATTAACTTAATAAAGTGAAGAGGCCATCAGGTAGAAGGAATAGAATATGGAAAGTCCCTGAGGTGGAAAGATGGACAGTGAACTCGAGGAATTGAAAGGCGGCCAGTGTGACAAGTACAGGGATTAAATGGAGAAAGTTAAATGGACATGAAGCTGTTGAACTTGACCAGGAATAGTTCATGCAAGTTCTTGTTAAGGAAGTTGGTTTTATCCTAATAACAATGGAAGCTCTTGAATGATTTTAAGTAGAGAAAGGAATCATTGTTATTTACTCAGTACATTTTAAAGACTCATTTAGGCTGCAATGTAGAGAATGGAGAACAGGAAGCAAGAGACTATTATAGCATTTTAGGTTAAAGAAGGTGGTAGCTTGGACTAGAGAGATGGAAAGAAATGACAGTATCGTAGGTTAGACCAAGATAGTGGCCATGAAGATATATGTATTTAAGATATCCAGGAGATAAATCCAGTAAGACTTGATGCTCTAGATGGAGGGAGAATGAGGTGTTGAGGTAGACACCCAAACGGGTAGATGATGGAAAGAAGGAACATTTGGAGGAGGACAATGTGTTTGGTTTGGCTTGAGTGACAAGTTGTGTGGAGAAAATCATGAATTCCATCATGAATATGCTGAGTTTGAAATGCCTTTAAGTTGGCAAAGTCAAGCAGACAGCTGTATATGTATGTCTGGAACTCAGGGACAGAAATAGATGGTCACAATCAACACATGTTATTGAAAATTTTAGGAGTTGATGAGATTTCCCAGAAGTGGAGTATAGGGTGAGAAGAGAAGAGACTTTAGACCTTATCTTGAAGAACGCCATCATTTTACAATTTGATAGCAGACGGTGAACTCGCAAAAGTATGGAAAGCTCTCTGCTGGAGAGTGTGGTGTCCTGAGCACCATTGGAAGAGAGTGTTTTAAGAAAGAAGTGTCTCATGCTGCCGAAATATCAGGTAAAATGATGTTGAAAAGTATCCCTGGATTTCTCGACAAGGAGGGCCATTTAATTTAGATGTGGTGGCCAAAGCCAGATATTGAAAGGAGTTAAAGAGTGCTCTGGAGGTGAAGAAATAAAAGGAATGTGGCCTTACCTGTGTTATAAAACTAAGGATGGTCTGTTGAACACACTAAGATGTTTTTTTTCTCCTTTGCCTGTGCTGTTCTTTCTGCATGGAATATTCACTCCTCCTTGCTTTCTTGAGTCATTCCTTCATCTTTTAAGATCATTTCTTTCATCTCTTATACTTGTAGGATAAGACAGATACTTAAATATACTTGTGTGACTAGTAGTCAAAGCATGGGCTTTAGAGTCGGGCAGACCTAGATTTGGATGCCTGTTCAGCTGCTTACTAATTCTGTGACCTTGCAAAGTTTACTTTGTCCCTGTGCCTCAGTTTTCTCATCAGCAAAATGGGATGCGGGGGTATAATAATTGTAGCTACCTCATAGAGTCTCTGTGAGTACTAAATTACGTAATGCATTAAAAATACTAAAGTGCCTGGCATTGCAAGCAAGCAGTAAATGCTAGCCATTGTATCCGTTGCCTTGGGATTATTTCTCTGAATAGTTTTCAGGTGCCTTAATGCCCTTCTCCTTCCCTCCAATGCACATCTTCATACCATTTGCCACATATTCACATTATAGAATCAGAATGCCATGATATTGCCTTTCTTTTTCCCAGGATTGATCATGTCCAATGGCCAGGTATGGAAGGAGCAAAGAAGGTTTGCCTTGACAACGCTAAGGAACTTTGGTTTAGGAAAGAAGAGCTTAGAGGAACGCATTCAGGAGGAGGCCCACCACCTCATCCAGGTAATAGAAGAGGAGAATGGTGAGTGTTCCTAGGACAGGTGCGGGAGATTGTGGCTCATTCATTCACTGAACAGATACTTATTAAACACATAAGCGCCTATCCTGTGCCCAGGACTGTGCTAGGCACTGAGGATATAACAGTGAACAACTAACCATGACCCTGCCCTCGTGCAGCTCTAGGATTAAGCACAAGAAGATGGGTATTAAACACATTACTGATTTTAAACCCTGGTCATCAGTTTGACTTGCCAGGCATTGACTGAGTACTTGGCGTATGTCAGACCCTGTGTAGGGTGCTGTGGCCAGAGCCTCATCTGTGGTTCTGTACTCAGTATGTCATATGTCATACGCTCAGTAGAAAAAAGAAACAAACCAATCTGAAAGATCCTTCTCTTCTTCCGCCTCCAGGACAGCCTTTTAACCCTCACTTCAAGATCAACAATGCAGTTTCCAATATCATTTGCTCCGTCACCTTTGGAGAGCGTTTTGAGTACCAGGATGATCAGTTTCGAGAACTACTGAGGTTGCTGGATGAGGTCACCTGTCTGGAGGCATCAGTGCGGTGCCAGGTAAGGGCTTCTCTTTCCATATCTTAGATAAGGATATTGGGGCTGATGTCAGACACAGAAGGGTTGTTCTTTTTTTTTTTTTTTTAAGGATATTGGGGCTGATGTCAGACACAGAAGGGTTGTTCTTTTTTTTTTAACATTTTTAAATTGACTTCAACTCAGACTTATTTGGAATCAATCTGTTTATGGTAGTGTTTTTGATAATATTACTAAATATTTACTATATACCAAAAACATTTCTAATATTCATGTAAAGTACAGAACTTTACATGACATATACCTATGCATCTATGTTGTTTTATTTAAAAAGCACGTGTTGCCATTGCTTTGAGTCTCCTCTCCATGTCCCTCCCTAACCCGTGCATCTCCCTCCTCCTTCAGGTACTCTTCTGTGCCGAGCTTCTTACTCGGCAGACTGTATTAAGATTCATCTGTGTTAGTTGCTCTTTTGTTAAAATTCTGAGTAGTATCCCATAGTATGGATATGCCACTGTTTGTTATTCTGTTCTCTATTCATGGACAGTTGGGTTGTTTCCAGTTTTTGAATGAGGCTGCCATGAGCATTCCTGTACAATTGTTCGTGTGGACACGTCTCCTCATTTCTCTGCATATGCACCTGGACAGAAAAGATCCTAAAAGTTTCCAAAGTGGTTGCACTATTTACATGCACATCAACATTTGATGTTATCAATCTTCTAATTTCGTAGGGTATAGATCTTTGGGGTATAGATCTTTGGGGTTCAAACCTCACTACTTTCTTGGTGGGCCTGCACTCTAATTTTATTACTCTAGGCGTTGAGTCTGTCAAAAACTCTGCTCAGGGGCCAGCCCTGTGGCCTAGTGGTTAAGTTTGGCGTGCTCCGCTTTGGCAGCCTGGGTTCGGTTCCCAGGAGTGGACCTATACCACTCGTTGGCGACCATGCTGTG